AGCGCTGTGTGGGATGCGGCCTCCCACACTGCTGGCCAGTGCGGTCACCAGTGCGAATGACGTAAGTGCACGTAAAGCCACGCTGCGCATACCACTCACGAGCGGCCTGAAGCGACGGGGCGGGCTGCTGACTCTGGCCACCGCCAGCGCCTCCACGACCACCACTGCCGCCGCCACCGCCTCGGCCACCTCCACCCCTGCCGCTGCCACGACCACCTCCGCCTCCACTGCCGCCTCCACCCCTGCCGCCACTCCCGCCGCTGCTGTCACCACCCCCACTGCCGCCAGTAGGCTCCCCAGCCGCTCCTCCACTCCCACCGCCTCCACCCCCACCTCCTCCGCCGCCACCTCCAACCTTGCCCCCTTTGCCCCTGCGGCGCCCGCTCGGAGCAGACGCGGCCCCGACCTTCTCAGCACCAAGGAGGTCGACAGTAGCAGCAGAGGCGACAGAGGGGAGGAGAGGGGAAGGGGAACACCCCTCAAAGAACGGGGTGCGGGGGTCGCCACGAGAGGTGCCTACAGCGACGATGCTCGTCTCAGCTGCAAGCAGTTCCTTCTCGAGGAGGGCAATGGTGAGCTCAGTGGGAGAGCGAGCGAGGAAGTGATCCCTGACTGCGCGCAGAGAGTCAGGGAGGCGGGTGACAATGTGGTAGAGCGTGATCTAGAGCGGGGGGGGTTGCTGGCAAGGAACTCGTCAGGCATAGCAGCGCGAAAGCGGGCCTCACTGGTCCTGAGGTGGGTGATGAGGTCAGCGACTGTGCTGAAGGAGGCCAGGTCGGGGAACAGGTAGGGGAGGGTGAGGCGGCCTAGTGCGGCAGAGGCAGGTGAGGAGTAACGAGCAACTACAGCAGTGTACAGGTCCTTAGCAGTCTTGTGTTGGCCAAAGTGCTCGCGCTCATCTAGTGGCAGGGAGTTGCGAATAGCGAAGCGAGCGTGGGCGTCACGAGTCTGCCACTGTGAGCGCTGAGTGCTGTCTGCAGTGGTAGGAGGGGCAGTAGCGTGACCGAGGGCATGATCGTACAGCGAAATATCCTCCTTGGCAGTGAGCTGGAGGAAGAGGTGCAGGTCATCTAGCCAGGTGTCAAACTTCACTGGGCGGCCCTCGGCATCGAAAGCAAGTACGGGAGGACTAGCCATAGTGGCAGCAGTAGTAGCAGTAGCAGCAGTAGCAGTAGCAGCAGGAGCAGTAGTATCGACGGGGCTGCTCAGTACGGGCGGCGCGGCTCGGTCGGGTAGGGCGGCGCGGCTCGGGTCGGGCTGCGCGGCTGCGCAGAGCCTCTAAGCGGGGCGGTACGGGGCCGCGGGGGGCCTCTAAGCGGGGCTCGACGGGGCCGCGGGGCCGCTAAGCGGGGCGCAACGGGGTCGCGGGGCCGTGAGGTGGGGCGCGACGGGGCCGCGGGGCCTCTAAGCGGGACGCGACGGGGCCGCGGGGCCTCTAGGCGGGACGCGACGGGGCCGCGGGGCCGCTAGGTGGGGTTCGACGGGGCCGCGGGGCCGCTAAACGGGGTGCGCGCGGGGTCGACGGGGCCGTAAGCGGGGCGCGTGCGGGACCGACGGGGCCGTAAGCGGGGCGCGCGCGGGTCGACGGGGCCAAACGGGGCCGAAATCGGGGCGCGCGCGGGTTCGACGGGGCCACTAAGGGGCGGCGCGCGAATCGCTAAGGGGCGGCGCGCGGGGTCGACGGGGCCTTAGGGGGGGGCCGTAAACGCACAAGGGCGCAGAGGGGGAGGCGCTAACGCAGCACTCCGACAGTAGATAGGTAGGTAGGTATTCAGTGGTGGGCCCTAAGAACGGTCCTAGCGAAGGACCTGCTCTGAAACCATGTCAGAAAGAAGAGACTGGAATGATTGAACTATGAGTGAAAGCAGTACAAGTACCAAACCCTAGAATTGTGTACCCCCCATAGGCTAACCCACTGTAGCCTAAACAAACACAACATATATAATGTTTGACATGCTTTTCCCTACACCTATAGGGATTCATGCGCTTTCTAGGCACTTGGCGGCAAAAACGGCCGAAATCGTACGCGCCGAACTTTTCATCGCACAAGAATCAAGCCGAAAAGGCTCTAGTATGTGTATTTGAACCTGGCCCACTAGAATATGCAATAAAAATCAGGTTGTTGAATGCTTTTCCCTACACCTATAGGGATTCACGCCCTTTTCAGGCACTTGGCGGCAAAAACGACCGAAATCGTAGGCGCCGAACTTTTCTTCGCACAAGAACCAAGCCAAAAAGGCTCTAGTATGTGTATTTGAACCTGGCCCACTAGAATATGCAATAAAAATCAGGTTGTTGAATGCTTTTCCCTACACCTTTAGGGATCCACGCGCTTTTAAGGCACTTGGTGGCAAAAACGGCCGAAATCGTAGGCGCCGAACTTTTCTTCGCACAAGAACCAAGCCGAAAAGGCTCTAGTATGTGTATTTGAACCTGGCCCACTAGAATATGCAATAAAAATCAGGTTGTTGAATGCTTTTCCCTACACCTATAAAGATTCACGCGCTTTCTAGGCACTTGGCGACAAAAACGGCCGAAATCGTAGGCGCCGAACTTTTCTTCGCACAAGAACCAAGCCAAAAAGGCTCTAGTATGTGTATTTTAACCTGGCCCACTAGGAAAATGCAATAAAAATCAGGTTGTTGAATGCTTTTCCCTACACCTATAAAGATTCACGCGCTTTCTAGGCACTTGGCGGCAAAAACGGCCGAAATCGTAGGCGCCGAACTTTTCTTGACACAAGAACCAAGCCGAAAAGGCTCTAGTATGTGTATTTGAACCTGGCCCACTAGAATATGCAATAAAAATCAGGTTGTTGAATGCTTTTCCCTACACCTATAGGGATTCACGGCGGCAAAAACGGCTGAAATCGTAGGCGCCGAACTTTTCTTCGCACAAGAACCAAGCCGAAAAGGCTCTAGTGTGTATATTTGAACCTGGCCCACTGGAATACGCAATAAAAATCAGGTTGTTGAATGCTTTTCCCTACACCTATAAAGATTCACGCGCTTTCTAGGCACTTGGCGGCAAAAACGGCCGAAATCGTAGGCGCCGAACTTTTCTTCGCACAAGAACCAAGCCGAAAAGGCTCTAGTATGTGTATTTGAACCTGGGCCACTAGAATATGCAATAAAAATCAGGTTGTTGAATGCTTTTCCCTACACCTATAAAGATTCACGCGCTTTCTAGGCACTTGGCGGCAAAAACGGCCGAAATCGTAGGCGCCGAACTTTTCTTCGCACAAGAACCAAGCCGAAAAGGCTCTATTATGTATATTTGAACCTGGCTCATTGGAATACGCAATAAAAATCAGGTTGTTGAATGCTTTTCCCTACACCTATAAAGATTCACGCGCTTTCTAGGCACTTGGCGGCAAAAACGGCCGAAATCGTAGGCGCCGAACTTTTCTTCGCACAAGAACCAAGCCGAAAAGGCTCTAGTATGTGTATTTGAACATCGTGGTATGATTCTTTTGCTCTTAATGCATTAGAATAATCTGTATGAAGTAGGGATAGTATGGCACTTTAGATCAGGTTTCTATACTACACGTATGAAAGCCAAATCTATTTAGCTGCTTTGTTGGTCGTTGTTAAAAACATTACCGAGTTTCCTTGAGCGAGACGTGAAATTTAGAAGACCCTTCCAGCGCTTCGCGGATTGTTCTGCCTCGCTGGCCAGTGGTGGCTGGAAGATCTCTTGTAGGGCGTGAAGGTCGCACGCGATTCGTAAGGCACCACTTCCGTGCACGGGATTGGCGATGCCTGGCCCCGCTGATCCTCTCGTCAACCTATCAACGGTTCCCACCTTGTTTGCTCAGCAAAAAGAATGCCATCCAAATTTCCCTAGGTGCAGAAGAAATCAAGCCCAACGCCAACCCAACCCTCACCTCACTCCCCCCGAGCTGCTGCAGAATTTTGCATTCTGCTGAATTCTGTGCTGCCTCCTATCTCCCAGCAGCATTCCTTGTGTGATCTCGAACTGTGTTCCGTCACTCACACTTCTGGAACCAATGGCTGCTCTTACATGCCAGACAGCTGCCACCTTCGCCAAGCTTGGCTCCGCTTCGAGTGCTCAGGCCTCAAGAAAAGCCAGAGTGACGCGTGCTGCATTTCTTGGCCAGCGCGTTAATGTCAGCTCAAGCAGCAGAGGTCAGGTTCTGAAGCTTTTTTTTCTCCAAAAAATGTCGGTTGACACAGAAACGCTAAAGACAGAATTCACGCATGTGTTTTTCGATCCTTCAGGAGTTGCCAAGACTTCAAAGTTCGCAGTGAGGGCAACCGCTGAAAATGAAGAATCTCCATTCGTGACTCGATCCAAAGAGCTTCTTGAGGACGCTAAGGCCAAGGCAAGCGCTCTCAAGCAAATATCGTTGCAGTTCGCGTTCGAGCACTTAAACTCACTTCATACACTGTCAACTAATTTGTTGTTAGTGTGTTTACAGTGGGATACAGTTGACGACAAAAGCACGGTTCTTCTCTACGGTGGCGGAGCGATTGTTGCACTTTGGCTTTCCTCCACGATAGTGTCCGCCGTCAACTCCATCCCGCTGGTATTGTGTTAATCAGTAGTGGTGTTTTTTTCTGATTATTTCCTGTCTCTTAACTAGCGATTTTCACGTTATTGCAGCTCCCCAAGGTCCTCGAGCTAGTGGGCACGGTCTACACTGGCTGGTTCGTCTACCGCTATCTCTTGTTCAAGGTTCGTCACATCGCGTCTGTGTTCTTTCCTTCCAATGAATATGCTTTTTTTTTCGCTGCCAATATTTCAGAGGATCGTCTACTCAAAACGTTTTCTTTGTGTCTAACAGTCTAGCAGGAGGGAGCTGTCACTTCTTGTTGATGACCTGATGAGCAAGATCACTGACAAGAAGTGAATATTGTCAGTCAGTAAAATCCAGCTGAGGCAGGCTCCTGGTGGTCCTGGGCGTAGTTCTGTAATCTTGTTAAATTAATCACCATGACAATGCATCGCATACCTAGTTGATGTTACAATACATCCAGTCAGCCAGAATAATGAATCACCTCGACAGGCATATTAGTACCATCAGATTCTATGCTTGTTGATGTTGTATTTCTCAAACGTAGCCTTACACTCTGCAAGACAGGAAAAAATGGGAGAATGGGGCGGAAAGAATGCCTTTTGCAACAATGAACCAGGTGCTGAAAAATCACCACTGATATGGAAGGAAAAGAGAAAACAGTGGGCTTGATTCAGACTCCAGGATTTGTGAATGTATGAATTGAACATACAAACTGGGAGGGAAGGCATGGCAAGAGAAGCAGGGAGGACAGGAGGGAGTGCCAGCGACCAGGGAAGACCAGGAGAAAATGGTGAGAGCAACAGGGAAGGCTGGGAGAGAGTGACGAGACAGACAAGGAGGTCTGGGGTTAGCTGCAGTTGTGGAGAGAGCTGTGAGAGCGGACTTATATTCAGCAAACACCTCTCTTATGATGTTCATTAATCGGTGTAAATTCAAAAATTTCGCCCTTAATCAGCATAAAAACAATGGGCTGGGTAAGTGACGTACCTTATCCAATGACTCCGCAGTAGACATTTGACGCAGAAAAACCTCCCTGTTGGCAGGAAATCGATTTGTGGGGTCCATCACAATAACGTGGCGGGAACTGGACAGGAGGCACACATTGTGAGTCAGATAGCTGCACAGTGCATTGAACTGTGAAAGTAGGATTATTGGGAACAACATGACTTACTCAGAACTTGCACAACTCGATTGCCGCAGCAGGTTTGGCAGCAGTCTTGGTAGAAGTGACGAGGCAGAGCTGTCATAAAGGACATCACATGCTAGTACCTGGAAACAGAGCATAACACGGGCCAGTTTTGTCTTGCTTATTCCAGCAGGAGCATCTCAAACGTCCAATTGTCTCTCGAATGCCACTCTTCGATCAATCACTCCCTCAATCCACTTCTTAACCGTTGCTCACACCTCAGACCATTTAGATAGAAAACATGCATAGGAAAAAAGAAAGACAGAAAGCCAGCAAGAAAAAAGGAAGAAAGAACAGCATACCGTGTTAAATTTCTCTCCGTGGTAGTCTCCGTCGGACCAGTCAAGCACTTCAGCAGAAATAGATGCCGTTTCTGTGATAAGGACAGCCCCATTCAATGACACTTGCGAACCCTCGAGAGCAGGCAGATGAAGGTGAGACAAATCTGAGGAGCCTGAAAGCTGACTGTGGTCCAGAGGGGATTCGGTGAATTGTGTATCCCTACTGACGTGGCGGTGCTGGAGGTGGTAGGAAGGAAGGGCGATGAGAGAGAGAAGGTGTTTCAAGGCACCTGACTGCTGTGCTGATGTCAGCCATTGTTGGAGCAACCGTAAGGATGGGAAACAGGGGCGAGACTGAGAAGAGGTGTACTGAGGAAAGTTGTGAGCATTAACGATGCTTGTGAGGAGGCAGGAGAGAAGAGCAAGAGGCTCACGGTCGAAGTACACCACTTCACGAGCCCCTGCCATCAATGCTGCCAGACCAGCAATGCCTGCCGCCATGGAATGTGATGGGAGCAGTTAAAGAAAAGTGAAATTTCAGAAAGAAACGTGAACACTGACTAAGAAAAGGAAAGCAAGGTTGAATCCTTGCTATACAATGCAATGGCTGAGATTCCCTTACCCATTCTACACAAACTCCAAGAATCAGCTCAGCATGTGGGAACTGTACCTGCATCAACACCGACCCAGAAACACAAACACGGAAAACACGCTGGATGCTTGTTCCCTTCCTACACGTACGTACCTATTCCAGCACCCAGATCACAAACACGCTGGCCCTGCACTGTCTCTGGGTGCGCAAGAACCTGAAAAGGGAAATGAAGCACAGGGAGGAAGGTTGGAATAGAATTTCAGAACCACCGCGTAGCGCGTCGGTCCTTACATGAATGGTTTCATCGCTGTACCCTCCTCACCACCGCTCGTCCCACCTACAGTTCCCGTCCCGACTCTCCCCCCTCACCTGTCGGAACATGGCCTGGGCGCAAGGCCACACCTGGCACCAATAGGGGTCCTTGTGCTCGCCGGACTCCGCCTCTGCCACGCAGCAAGCAGGAAGAACTCCACAGGACAGAGCTCATGCGAGCAACCCACAAGCAAGCGCACAGTCACCAGCACTGCTGGAAAAGAGTGTGGGCCAAAAGAGAGGCGACAGGGATCGTTCTGGCGAGGCATCCACCAGGGAATGACTCGGTTACGAAGCGACGGGGTTGGTGGATTGTTGTAAAGCGTGTGTGCGCGCGTACCTCTGGCAATGTACATGTCAAGCACCGTGTCCAGGCAACGAGGCTGAACCACCCTCACAACGCGCCCAGCCACTGCGACCTGCCATGCACAACGGCCACCAGATCAGGTTCGAAAGCAGCTGGTTTTACTTGAAGTTCTCGGGGAACAGAGTTGATTATGGTGCAGAGCTTGTCAAGGGACTCAAGATGCCATGCCATTCCGCGAAATGTGCAACCGTGTCCGTTCACCTCGACAACTTCTAGCTCGGGAATGAACAGTGGATCGAGGTACTCAGCCGTGACGTCATCTGACGCGTCTGGTCTGCTTGCGGATGCGCCGACGGCGTGCACGTCAGCCAGCGACGCGTAGGTACTGGCGGACCGTCGATGTCTTGCGACTCTCGCGAAATGCGAAGGTGATCCAGTAACGGAGGGGAGTGGTCCACCGGAAGCGAAGAAATGCTGCGCGAAGACCCTGTAACTCCTGTCTCGAACATCATTCGCTTCGTGGGATACGAATCTCGCCGCGGGAAGGAACGTTTGCTGTTGGTGCCGTGCAGCAGATCTCCGACATGCTTGACCACGCACACAGGGTTTTAGGCTAGATGCCAGCGTTAACCGCCGAGTTCGCAGCTTTGATGCCTGGAGGCTCAGCAGACTATGACGCATGGTCGCCGCTGCTGCGGCCATGACAGTTGGTGGGATGCTAGCAACTTTCTTGGAGTACCTACGTGGAAGCGCAAAAGCAAATAATATTTTTCGAAGTACTGAAGTTATCAACCATGACTGATTATCAGACTCCCTCAAGTTGATTGTTCTAATGTGTTGTCATACGCAATATACAAGCCTAAACAAGGTGTTGTGGCTGGTACTGGTTAGGCGCTAGATTCCTTATTTGTGAGGGATGCTCTTTCTGGGTACCAAACATATTGTGGTATGGGATGGCGAAGAAAAAACAGCATGATTTACAGGAAGTGAAACATTCCAGTGCATGCAATCTTAGGATGATGGGATGACACGGCTTCAGGAGAGGGTGGACTGGGATGTGTGAGTGATGAATTCGTTGAATGCAAGCAAGGTGCACTCCCTCTTGGAAGCACTTCGTCCACAAGTCAGCCATGGATGAAGTGAGATACCCAACGATGGGAACCCGAAGCTACAATGAGAAGGTGGAAAGCCAATCAGAAGTCATCGATAGGGGGCCATTCCATACAGGACAAACTCCATGGCTCCACAGGACCCTAGAGTGTGTCGTTCACTATCTAAGACGCGGTGCTAGGGAAGTGGGGTGCTCGACGCATTACGATCACGTGCTCATGAGGGCAGCATCAGGTAACCTGGGGGAAAAGTGCGTAAAGTATTTGAAATAATCGCTTATAAAATTATCTTTACAGAGTCAGCATCTCAAGCCATTTAGATCTTGCCCCTGGGGCCGAGGGCAGCGGGCTTCTGGGGGCCGTTCTGGATGGCAATGATGTCACCGGTGGAGTTGGCAGCGAAGTGACCGATGGCGCCAGCATAGCCGAGGATGAGCACCTTCAGGAGAATTCCCCTCTTGGTGAAGAGGCCGGCGAAGGTCTCGAAGAACTTAGCCTGTAAAATGGAATAACAAGACGTCAGCCATCTACTTTTCTGCAAGGCTGGCTAATTTCAATGTCCTAAACGTAGGCGAGAAAAGAAACTATACCTGAAGGCCATTGTAGGGGGAAGCACCATCGTTGCCGTACAGGTCCCAGGCACCAGTGGTGTTGCCGAGGTCCTTCAGGTCAAAGTACACGCTCTCATCGCCGTACTTGGCGCGGGGAGCGGTGAACCTAACGGCCTTGGCGGGGGCAGCCTTCACATTGTTCTTCACAGCAAGCTTCTGGCCGCAGAAGGCGCTGGCGGAGATGGAGGCGGACACAGCGAGGGCGGCCATTGTGCTTGAGTGTAGTGAAGATAGGAATCGGCTTGGGCGTTCAGAAAGCTACCAAGGAATGGCAGTGTGAGTGCTGGTCTAAAAGACCCCAAGAACCAACAGACTGGTGGCTAGGCGGAGGTCCCTCGCGAACTTTCGCGAGTGGGGAGCTGCTGGTTTGCGATTGGTGCGAGCTGGATAGGCCCTAGATTGCTGAAATCGAGCACGGGTAAGGCAGTCCAGCGTGGCAGTGTGTCGAGCTTGTCAATGGATACTGAAATCCGCTACAAGGGCACCTGGTGGCAGATGCGTGGCCACTCGAGCACATTACGAGTGGGGTTTTCGAGAATCCTACAGTGCACTTCGCCTCAGGTACACGAAATTCAAATAAATGTAGCAAGTGTTTTGCTAAATCTGCATAGTGTATGAACCTTACAATTAAGAAATGCTACGAACGCACTTTTGTGAAACGGAAATAAAAAGCTCAGCATGGCATGTCACTAAGGAACAAAAATGATACATATAGTTTGATTCATAATTCGAATAAGGCATGATACATTCACCAGATTCTGGCAGGGTGCACTTGATGATTTGTACAAATATGCTGGCATATCACTAACTAGAACTGATGAATTTTCCCTCTTCTCCCAGAATCTTTCCCGCTTCACCAGACTTCCTTCTGCTATCACCTCTCTCCTGGAGTTCGCCCGTCATGCCCAAGATAAGAGTTCTCTTCTTCGCGCGCGCTCGCGAGCTCGTAGGTGCGGCAGAGCAAACCCTAGAGCTGCCCGCGGACGCCGATTCTCGCTTGCTGCTCGAGCGCCTGTACGACGCGCACCCGCCGCTGCGCGACCTCGCGCAAAGCGTGGTGCTGGCGGTGAACCACGTGTACGTGTCGCCTAGCGACCCGCCGACGGCTCTTAAAGACGGAGACGAGGTGGCATTGATCCCGCCCATCAGCGGCGGATAACTGCTCCTCGCGCCGCTGTTGAAGTGCGGCAGGGCCGTGCCTCTGCTCTCCTCTCGTCACGTCACGTCGCATCTCTACCTGCCGCATTTCCTCTCCTCCCATCTCTCACCATTCCTTCTCGCTGCCTCTACCCTCTCACTCCCGGTCGCTCGGCCATCATCTTCCTCCTCGTTCGGCTCTTCCACTCTCATCTTAATAATATAGCGTCATCTTAATAATATAGCATCATCTTAATCAAGTTTCGTCATCGCCGTCGTACACCTCACCACTAGTCCTGATGTCACCATCCACGTCAGCACCTGCGACATCAGCAGCACCGCCATCAGCAGAAGCAGGAGCAGGAACAGGAGCAGAAGCAGAAGCAGGAACAGGAGCAGGAGCAGGAGCAAGAGCAGAAGCAGAAGCAGGAACAGGAGCAGGAGCAGGAGCAGGAGCAAGAGCAGAAGCAGAAGCAGGAGCAGGAGCAGGAGCAGGAGCAGAAGCAGAAGCAGGAACAGGAGCAGGAGCAGGAGCAGGAGCAAGAGCAGAAGCAGAAGCAGGAACAGGAGCAGGAGCAGGAGCAGGAGCAAGAGCAAAAGCAGAAGCAGGAGCAGGAGCAGGAGCAGGAGCAGAAGCAGAAGCAGGAACAGGAGCAGGAGCAGGAGCAGGAGCAGGAGCAGGAGCAGGAGCAGGAGCAGGAGCAGGAGCAGGAGCAGGAGCAGGCGCAGCAGCAGGGGAAGCGGGGGGGGCATGGGAGAGCGTGGGTGCAGACGTGCTGCTGGCAGTGCTGCAGCGGCTGACAGCGCGTGAGTGGGCGGCGTGCTTCTGTGTGTGCTCGCACTGGCGACGCACGGCCATGGACGCCAGTCTGTGGCAAGCAGCGTGTCACCGGGAATTCGCCATTCATCATCCATCCAACTCCCCTCTCGCACACCTCCTCCTCGACTCACTCCCTCCCTCCCACTCTCCCGTAACCCCTTCCTCCACCTCTTGCTCCTCCGCCTCCTCATCCTCTTCGTCTCTCCGCCCCCCTCTCCCGTCCCCCTTCCTCCGCATCTTCCCCCGCGCCTACCTCTCCCCCCACCGCCCCTACCTCTGCCTCGCCGCCCGCCTCGCCCACGTGCTCCGTGGCGTCGCCAGGTGGCGCGCTCTCATTCGCTACCGCCGCAGCAGCAGATCCAGAAGAGGAGGCAACCGGGAAGGCCGGAGCACGTGGGCATGGCGGGCAGTGCCTGCCCGTGTGGTGATGCAAGGAGGTGTGACTATATGGGTGGCCTTCGCCCTGGATCGTGAGGGGAGGAGGGCTAGCAGCCCTGGGGGCAGTAATGGGAGCAATGCGCGCAGAGAGGAGACAGACGGGAGAGTGGGGGACGAGGGTGATGGGCATGGGAGGGGGGATGAGGGGACGGCGGGTGAGATGGGTGGGATGGATGAGGAGGAGGCGATGATGGTGGAGGTGCAGGGGTTGTGGCGGCGGGCGGGAGTGGATGCAGGTGCTGTGTGGCTCACTCTCTTCCGCACTCACCCTCATGCTAGCTGTGACAGTTCCCGTGGCGCTCATGTGCATGCCACGCCTGCTGCTTCTGATGCTGCTGTTGTTGTTCATGGTGATGGTGATGGTGATGGTGGTGGGAGGGAGTGGGTGGAGGATGGAGTGAGGGATGGGGAGGAGTGGGAGGAAGAGGGGGGGTTGGGAGGAGATGGAGGAGCAGGGGCAGAGGAAGAGGCAGCAGAGCAGTGGGAGCGAGTGCAGCAGTCGCACATGACTGGCCTGTGCCTGTACTCAGGTAACGTGCTCAGCTGTAATGCGCCATGCAGCGGTGTTGTGCTGTGTTTTGTGCGGTGCTGTGTGGTGCTGTCCAGTGTTGTGCTGTGTTCTGTGCGGTGCTGTGCACCACATGACAAGCTTGTCTCAATGCCTGTGGGTATTCATGGCTGCACTGCAATCCACCCTCTGAAATCTGATGCGTGCCCGTCACGCCTTTGCCCTCTCATGCGCTGATCACTGCTGGCAGGCTATAAGTGGACACGCCTCGCGTCCTTCTTCCGCCCACCCTCCCTCCCGCCCACCATGGCCTCCTCTTCTTCCTCGGCTTCCCTGTGTGGGCATGAGGGGGTGGAGGGGCAGCAGCGGGAAGGGGAGGGGGCGCACGGGGTGGTGTTCCTGCACGCCATGCACCTGCTGCACTGCTTCCCTCTCCCACTCCCGCACTCCACTCCCCTCTGCCGCCCCATCCCCACCGTCGCTGCCTCCACCTCGTCCGCCTCTCCCCTCCCGGCCACCCCCCCGTGCACCGCACTGAGTGTCCTCATTGACTTCTGCCTGCCTCGTTCGCTCCACCACTCGCTCCTGCCCTCTCAAGGTGCGTCCTCCTCGCCTGCCCTCTGCCCCAGCACGCGTCTTGCACATGCTCCCCTCTCCCTCCCTCCTTCTTCCCTAGCTCTTTCTCCCCCTCTCGCCTTACTTTCACTTTCACTGCTCCGATGAGCCCTGCTCTGCTGTTACAGCGGTGTGGTAGGTAGGTGCTCTCGCCCTCCAACCTCTCTCCGTACCTACCACACTGCTGTAACACCAGAAGCCACGCCCGTGCCTTCTAGCCCAGCTGGCCTTGCACCCAGCTGCGCTTTTCCTGCACCCGTGCGTCATCCCGCCCCACCCATTCAGTGTCACCTGTCTCAGCTGTTGTCACAACTGATGCCATGCCTGACTGTGCCTTGCCCTGCCTGTGCCTGCCTGCCTGCCTGCCTGTGCCCTTGTCTCACACTCTCATCCTTTCCCTGCTTTCTGAACAACCTTTCTCTTCCTTTCTCTCTCTTCCCCACCTCCCCCTCTCGCCTCTACCCTCTCCCTGTTTCCTTGTGTCCTGCAGCCCATGCCATCACTCTCCATGCGTACCTCTCCCTCTCCACTGCTACGCCACGCCTTCTCTCTCCATTTCTCCCCCCGGTGATGCAGTGGGAGGGGGAGGGCCGGTTGCTGCTGCCAACCCATGCCATGCACACATGCAGCCACCATACCTCGTGCACTCACACACACACATGCACAGGCACATGCACACATGCGTGCACATGCAGCAGCACACCTGCTTGCGCATGTGCACGCCCCACATGTTCTGCAGCACTCCCTTTTCCACCGCATGTGCTCAGTGACGCCTTGGCTGACATCACCCTCTACTCCAGGTACCTCCCTTCATCCACCCTCTCTCCCCTCACTCTCCTCTTCCACCCCCCATCCACTCCTTCCTTCCCACTGTGCACTCCATGCACCATCCAATTTTATGAGACGTGTCAGAGACTGGTTACCAGCATCGCGCTCTAGACTCTACCAGCATGCATCTTCACTTGCAGCACCTGTTCCTCGCCAAACCGAAACCCACTCTCGTGTGCATTCACCGTGTGTTGAAATTCCTGAGCATTGTTGCACTTTTGTTAAACCCTCTCACTGAATCACACCGCTTCCCCTGCTCCCTGCATTTTCCCCCTCGCGTTGCCCCTGTGACGCAGCCGTGGGTGTGTGTTGCTGGGGCGCGCAGCAGTGGAGGTGTGGGAGACACAGGTGGAACGGGAGGAGGAGGGGGGGGAGGAGGATGAAGCGGATGATGGGCGAACGGATGGGGATGGGGTGAGCAGTGGGGCAGAAGGGAGCGATGGGGGTGGCAGTGGGCGCATGGCATGGCTGCTGATGTTTGTCCCAGATGGCTCGGACGAGCCTTTCTCTGCCAATGCACTTGTCATTGACTGGCGGGCGGCAAGGGGGACAAGGGGAGGTGCGGGAGGAGGTGGGGCAACGAGAGGCGACGTTAAAGCACGGGCAGAGGGGGGAGGAGGAGGACGAGGGGAGGAAGGACTTGGGATAGTGGGTGGGGAAGGTAGGGGGAGAGATTGTGGGAAGGAGGAGGTAGGTGGTTGGCACATTTCACTGCGGTTGACTGAAGAGGGCGTGCACAGTGTGTTTGACAGCCATGCATGTGTCAGTTTGACGGGCTCTTACTAGTGTAGGGTGCCCCTGCATCGTGATGCTACTATGAACCATTGCTGTTCAATAGAGGAGGAGCCTTTTACCGTATGTACCTATGTGGTAGAGACAGAATCGAAATCATTTCCTTGGGTTCCCTGATGACTGGAAGCATGCTTGGCAGTTGCTCAATGGATGACCATCCATGAGCATAAGCAACAATGGCTGAACCAGGCTCTGCCTACCATGGCATGCTACACAGACACACGACTTCATTCCATTACCGTATTCCAGCACCTACATTGTTTCCCAGCAAATCCTAAAGCAACAGCGCATGTTGCATTGCATGCCACTCTCACCCAATGGAAAATGCTCCTATGTACTCCTACAGAAGGCCACAGTCAGCAATCCAGCATCAGTCAGTCCTCATGTGCTGATACTCGTCTCTGCTGTTGTCTCACACTGCGCTGCCACTGCCCCTGCCCTTTCTCCTGTGGCTGCAAGTGCCAGGCAGTTGCATGTGCCTTGCTGCTCTTAGGAGACGGGGAGTGCTTTGGAGAGTGGCTGCTGCGACGATGAAAGCTCGCACTCTGCACCAACCCCTGCTGCACCTGCACCTGCTGCTGCTGCTGCTGCTGTTGCTGGTGGTGTTGGGTGTGGGGGCTGGTGTGAGGGAAGAGCGTGTGGAGGATGCGAGTGCATGCGGCCATGAGGGCTCGCAGGAGGTTGAGGAGGAGAACGATGAGGGACGTGGGCCAGTAGAGGGGGTGCAGTATGCGGAAGGAGAAGGATATCATGTGCCGGAACATGCGCCCCACCTGCACACATGCATGCAAATGCACACACACACATGCATGGAAATGCGTACATGCACACATACACACATATCCATGTGCACACAAGCACATAAACAATCCACATGGCATGCATACAAGGTAAACCAGGGTTGAAAGTCCTGTGCAGAACTGAGCACAGTGCAGGGTTGAGAGAATTGTGCAGGGACACTTCACAGAGAAGCAAGAAACAGAACCGCAAGGCAGGCAGAGCGGGCAAGGCGAGCAGCGTACAGGGTAGAGTGTGTCGAGGGCGGAACGAGCAGCTCGGCGCACGGGGCGCGTGGGGAAGAGCGGCCCTCCCGGCACTGCCATGGAGTGCAGCGCCACCTGCAGGCGAATGGCCGTGGCTGACCGCAGGTCTAGACCTGAGGGGAAAGGGGTTGGGGGGAGGAGGGGGTGATTCTGAGTCGACTCAAAGCCCACCGCGCACAGCCATGGAGTGTGGTGCCACTTGTAGGCGAATGGGCGTGGCCGGCCGCGGGAAAAAGGGGTGGGGGACCAGGGGGCAACGAGACTGGTAAGTTAACTGCAAACCAGCGGGCACAGCCATTAAGTCGACCAAGAGCGCGCTTAAGAAGCGATGATGATGAGACGTGTGGGTATGGGAAGAGTGGCCTGTTGTTCTGGAGCACAGCTGGGAAAGAAAGGTCTATTGGTGAGAACATGAAAGTGGTGGCGAGTGGTGCTGATGGTACGGGTATGTAGGTGTACGGGCACGGGCAGTGAGCGCTTGCCTTTGAGGGCAGTGCAGCGGTGCAGGAAGAGCAGGAGAACTGGCTCCACCTTGATGCGCTGCAACTGCAATGACGCCAATGGTGTCATGATGGGCATGAGGGGCATGAGCGCCATGGGGACAGTAATGCACAACAGAACAGAGGGCAACAACACAGTCATCAGGGAAGGGTAGGAACAGACTGCACAAGGGAAGGGCAACAAGGATACAGTTTCAAAACTGGGAATAGAAACACAATTGAGTAAAGATTACAGCAAGGTAGGGAAGGATGGTCAAGGGAAGGTGGGGAGAGGCAGCGAGGGCCAACGAAAGGAGTGGAGGTGCGGTGAAGTGAGAGCAGCATACCTGGTTGGTGAGCTCTGTGACAAAGATGTCCGCTGTTGCCCCGTGCAGTGCCTCCTGCCGTGACGCTGCTGCTAGCAGTGCCGGCAGACGTGCTCCTGAAGGGGAAGAGACATAGGGGAGGAGGAGGAGATGGCGAAGGAATCAGGGGTGCGGTGAGCAGTGGCGGAGTGAGAGTGGGGGGAATTCGGGATGCGGTACGAGAGAGGAAATGCTGGCACGGGGAAAGCGGGACTCAGAGCAGTGAGCATGGGATGCATGCGGTGCGGTGGTGCATGTACGATGTGTGCAGGCATGCACCTGACTGGTAGAGGAAGAAGCAGCGAGCCACAGTGCAAAACATGTCCTTCTGAAACTGTGTGATGAGAGCGGGGCGGAGTGCAGAGGGTAGGGGGGAAAAGGGAGAAGAGGGGGGAAGAATGAGAACAGGGGCAAAGTACGGAAAACAGCAGGTATGTGTGAAGGTTGAACATATGAAGCTCCTGACACTGCAAAGAATCACCAGTCGTGTGTGGTATGTGTGTGACTATCATGTGTGGGGGAGTGTCTTTGTGTATGTGTACATGTGTGGCATATTTCTCCGTGTGTGTGTATGAGTGTGGGGGGATGGAGCAGTGGGGGAGGGGGGGGGAGAGGGAGCGGGGGTTGCGTGCAAGCTCACCAGGGGAGGCACGAGGGCAAAGCGTTGCTCGTCCATGACAATGCGCTCCATCACAAACTGAACCCAGGGCACGGGAGACATGGCAAGGGGGGAGGAGGAGAGAATTGGGACGAGAGAAGGGTGAACAGGATTGCAGTTGGAGAGACAGACAGGCCAGACTGTGCAAGAGAAGAGCAGGTGGGAAGTGCCGTGCTCTAGGCAACAACATGACTGGGTTGCAGGCTGGCACTGAGCAGTGGACACGGAGTGAGGAGTGAGTGCGTGCGCGTGTGTATGTGGCGGTGTGCAGGTGTGGGTATGTGTGTGTTGAGATCAGAACCAAAGCGCACATTGAAGAGAGGGCGAAAGCGCTGCTCATTGCTCTGCAAGTCGATCCTGCCATGGCACACAACACAGGTCGAATGGGAGGGCGAATGGAAGGTCAGAAATATAACCCAGAGTCACTGCAACAGAAGACAGCTGGTGGAAGCAAGCAATTCTGACGTGGTGGCAAGAGTTTGTGGGCGGACCGTAGTGTAGTGTAGTGTAGTGTAGTGTAGTGTAGTGTAATGTAATGAGGGCCATGCTGCGGAAGAAGGCATGGGAGCGCGATTGTTGCAAGAGGAATGGGTGTGTGTGTGTGTATGGAAAATTGGGTGTATGGTGCATGGTGCATGCATGGTGCATGCATGCGTGCAAGCGTGGGTGCAAAGGCAGCGGCTGACCAGAAGATGCCTTCTACGCCGGTCATGAAAGCACGTGTGTATCGGTGCACCTCCTCTGAATGCGGCTTTGGCGAGCTGTACAGCTGCTCACGGCCACGCACGGCAGGGAGGCGACACAGGAAGAGGGGAGGGGAGAGAGAAGGTGTGAGAGAGAGTGAGAAAGAGAAGGTGGCGCTAAGAGGTGTGAGAGAAGGTGTGAGAGAGTGAGAACCCGGGCGCGGTGGCGCTGCAGATCGACCTTGCCAACGCCTTCAACGCGGTGGAAAGGGCGGCCGTATTCCAAGGGCTCAAGAACGAGGCCTTACAAGGCCTTCTGCCCCTGGTCCGCCTCTCTTACGGTGCTCCTTCAGTGCTCCACCTCGATAACGAGTTCGGAGTGGCCCCTCTGCTAAGCGCCAGAGGCGTCCGCCAGGGAGACCCTCTCGGCCCCCTGCTTTTCGCGGCAAGCATTCACCCTTACCTTACCGCAACAGCCTCAGCTCACCCTCGGGTCGTAGTCCTCGCCTATGCCGACGACATAACGCTGCTAGGCGAGGCTGACGCGTGCACGGCGGCATTCACACACCTTACTGACGCGCTGCTCCGCATCGGCCTCGAGCACAACTTAGGGAAATGTGAAGCTTGGTCTGCAGCAGCCATTGACCCCTCCACCCTCCCACCGAGCTTCCCAATCGCAGAAGATGGACTTCGGGTGTTGGGAAGCCCAATCGGGACCCCCGCTGGCTGCGCCACAAGAGTACGGGAAAGATTAGCGGCAGCCGCGGAACCCTTGCCGCTCCTGGCCCAGATGGACCCCCAGCTGTGCTTGCTCCTCCTTACCCGCTGCGTGGGCCGGCGAGCCTCCTTTCTGGCCAGAACCACCCCTCTCGAGGTGCTCCCTGAGGAAGAATGGTCGGCATGGGGAGAACAACTGCTTCATACCTTCCTGGAGGCGGCCCACATTATGCTTCCAAGGAGCGACGCGGAGCGGAGGAGAATCTGGCGGCAGGCGGCGCGTCCTGTCACACTGGGGGGGCTCGGCATCACAAACCCAGCAGTTGAAGGGAGTTACGCTTACCTTGCGTCGGTGGTAGGCACCTCCCACCTCCTGCATTCGCTGACCGACACACTCCACCCCGACGTAGCGGCCCTCCTCCCACTGATGGACCCTGCCGCCGGCCCCGCGCGCACCCTGCCCGCACGCCTCGCGGCAGCAGAAGCAGCCCTACCCCCCGAGGCCCTAGAAGCCCTCCAGACCGGGAGGGCTGACCCCCAGGGCCACAAGCTGCAGCAGTCCCTGGCACTGGCAGTCCAGACGCGCCGCTTCTTGAGAGTCATGAATGAGGCAAGGCGGATGCGCCCCAACCCCCTCTCTGGCCACGCCCAGCGAATGCAGTCGGTGCTCGACCCGGGCGCGGGAGACTGGCTGCTGGCGCTGCCAATCATACCCTCTCTCAGGATGGGACCCGCTCAGCTCTCCTCCGCGGCTGCCTTCCGCCTGGGCCTCCCCCTGCCTGTCCCCAAACGATGTGACTGCCGCTACCGCACCAAATTCCCTGACGACCGCCTCCCAAACCATCTCATGCGCTGCGAGAAAGGGGGGGGGGCGGATTGCAACTCACCATGCTCTCCGGGACGAAATTGCCTTGATAGCGGCAGAGGCAGGCTTCGCGGTTCACAAGGAAACATATGCATACTCTCTTGTTGAAAACCTGAAGGCGGACGTCGCAATCCGCCATCCCCTGACGGGAGAAGTATGGATGTGTGACGTCACCGTGACGGACCCCGTATCCCACCAGGACGAGCACTGCAACAGGGCACCGGGGTGGGCGGCCAGGGCGGCTGCAGACAAGAAGGAGCAGAAATATGCGCGCCGGAACGCATGGGTGGGCTTCCATGCCCTGGCGGTAGAGACATACGGGTACCCCTCGCCCGGGGTGTTGGCGTTCTTGCGGCAATGCGCGGAGCTGGCGGCCAAGTTGAGATTCAACGCTGCCCCCACCTCCTACGAGGCCGCCAAGCTGCTGACGGAATACCGCCAGCGCTGGAGCGTGTGCCTCCAAAGAGCACAAGCCAACGCCCTCCGCTGCAAGACCAACGAGGCGATTGCAGCGGACGAGCTCGGCATGCGGGGACCCTTTGCCCCCCTTAGCGAGGGCCAGCTCCACCAGCTGTTTGAGCCCCCGTTCGGCCACTAGGGTCGGACGGTAAGGGCAGGAGGATGAAGGGGAAAGGGTTAGCTAGGAAATCGTGTGTTATGTTTGTGTTTGGTTTTGCATCTCCCTCTGTATCACCCATCAAGCAATACAAGGTCCATTCGAGTGAGAAAGAGAGGGATGAAGAAAGAGGGGGAAGGGGGGGGGGGGGGGGGGGGGGGGGGGAGAATGGAAAATGGTTGCAGGAGGAGAGACAGAGTGATGCATTTGACATGAACACGGAATCTTGGGGGAAACATGCAGTCTGGAGTGGCACAGCGAGGGATACAGCACAAAGCAAAGCACACACGTGCACGTCCTGACTGACAAAGAAAGGGGGAGAGAGAGCAGTGAGGCGCACACACCCATCGGTGGAGCAGCAGGGCGAATATCTGTGAGGAGAAGACGCAGCTCCACAGGGGCGCGAACAGCGGCAGCAGCGCCGCCACGGACGCCTCGCTCTCCGCGTAATGCTGCGCCAACACCTCGTAGAAGCACACCCGCTCACACTCCCCCCCTGCCGCCAACCCCTGCTGCTGCGGCTGCCAGGGCTTGTTCCCCTGGTTCTCCCCCTGCGCTGCCCCGTGCTGCTGCTTCTCCTGCGGCAGCAGCAGGCGGTCGGGCGGAGTCGCGGCGGCCACGGGGGGCGGCGCAAGCACGGAGTTGGTGGAAAAGGCGGGCGCGAGCGCGGGGTGCGCGGCGGTGCAGAGGGAGGAGAGCGAGGCGGAGGGGTCGCGCAGCAGCACGTCGTGCGCGTGGCCGTCGAGCTCGAACGCGATGTCCGTGAACAGCTGCCGCAGCACGCCCGCTCGCTGCGATGGCGACTCCACCGCCTGGTGGTGCGGGGAGAGCGGTTTGCGGAGGGCGCGGAGCGGAATCAGGGAGGAAAGGGATCGTAGGAAGCAAGGGACGGACTGCAGGAAAGCAACGAGCGAGTAGCGCGGATCAGGGGCGGAAAGTTGCCAGGAAAACAGCGACAAAGCCAGGACCAGTACGGATAGAAAGTTAATCAGAGATCGCGCTGCGCTTGCTCTTTGCTCGGGGTGTTGCCTGAAGCTTGTTTGCCAGAAAGGCACTGAGCGGAACACACACCTTCCTTAGCTTGCGTTGCACTTGCTCCACGAGGCCTCGTCTCACCGCCACCTCCAGCACCTCGCCGCGCCACGCCCCCGCTTTGCGCGCGCTCCTCTGCTCCTCCGCACCTGCCTCCATATCGCCTTTGCCATCCTCCCCCACCACACACAGCGGCCTGCTGCTGCTGCTGCTGCTGCTCCTCCTCCTCCTCTTCCTCCTCCTCTTCATCCTCCTCCTCTCGCCCCGTCTCACCGGCCTCGTCGCCTTCCGCCGATCGTGCGTCCGCCTGTGCGCCCATCCCCACACCCCGGAGCGCCTCCCCTTCGGTATGATTAACTGCGAATTCCGCTGCTGCTGCTGCTGCGGACTCTACTGGCGCTTCTGCGATCGCAACGGTCTCTAGCGTGCTCGGCGCACCCGCGATCCTGTCGCCTTCCGCCTGGTCGCGCGCGCACTGCTGCGCGCTAGCTTCGGTGCTGCTGCTGCGGGGAGCCGCATCCGCGCATGCCGCCGCGGTCAGCGCAGCTGCGAACCCCGGCAAAGGCCCCATGTCATCGCGATACGCGCTCTTCACAGAAGGAGGACCCGACGCGGCCCCGCACGGGTGACCTGGAGACGTCTGCGGAGCCAGCGGTGTGGGTGACGCTGACGCTAACGCTAACGATTATGCTTATATTAACGCTAACGTTGACGCCGACGTCGCGAGGGGAGGTAGAAAGGCTAAGCGCGCGAATGCACAGCCGGGCTTGTGCGAGATGAGCAGTCGATAATGGGAAGCGGAAGAAGGACGGGCAGGAAGATCTGCGCGACGCGCTCGCGATGCCGAGCGATCAAGCAAGTGCAGCGTACGCGAGGAACGTTCTGACACGCGTAAATTATGCAGCCCTAACGACCTACGAGGCCGTCGAATAGAGCGTCGAGTCAGACTGGCTGTTGACGCAGCAGGTGGAAGATTACGCGTGGTGGGGGATGAAGAGTGAGGGACGCGACAAAAAAGGCTAGGTGCTTGCTGCTGACACACGGTCGAGGAAAAGAAGAGAGGGAAAGCGAGAAAAAGAATTGGCGGAACCACGGTGGAGCTGAGCTACAAAAGCTAGGAAGCTTGGCGGGCTGACGCCGAGGTATGTCTAGCCAACTAGGGGGAAGTGATGGGTTGAACAGGTGTTGTGCTGGTCTGGCGTGTGTTTATGGAGAGGGAGGAAGGAGAGGCGGGAGGGAGGGATGGATGGATGAGGGCTGACCTGGTAATGGCCTGTGATGACCGAGCACGCTGTGTGCAAGCCATGCTGCTTGCCCTGCGCACTCGCCCCTGGCGCCATCCGACCAGGCGCGTTGTGGCCGAAGGTTCTGAAAGTCGTTTTGTACGGTGACATGCGGTAAATTGCTTTGAAAACTATTGCAGTATGGTTGGGTGTGTAAAACCTGGTTCGGGAGTCAGGTTGGGAGGGAGGGAGGCGGATTTTGATGGTTGACAGTAGTGGCTGGGGTGCGCTGGCGGCCAGCGAATCAGCGAACCACATTGATTTCGTCGATTGGCACGGACGGACGGATGTAATGTCACACGATCAGATCACATCATCCCGCCCTGGACGCCCTGCCACAAAAGCCGGTCATCTGGTGTACTCACTTCTGTCAACCCCGTTGATGAAATACGTATGAGCTTCGCAGATTATTGAGTTCAAAGAAATTGAAGGTTTCTTTGTAACAATGTGCGACTCCTGGTCGTGATCTGAAGTGCCCATCGCAGCGAACGACCCGCAGCAAATTCTGACACTACAATCCTTCCGTGTTGCGTTCCCACGCATCCTCAGATTCACTAGTTCCAGCCTAAGGCTAGATCCGAGTTAGCAGCTAGCCGCGTCTCGGCGGTCTGACATTCCGCCACCATGATGAATATATTCCGGCTTGCGGGTGATATGACCCACCTGATGAGTATAGTGGTGCTGCTTCTGAAAATAGTGACAATGAAATCTTGTGCTGGTGAGACACAGACCGTGTTTGGGGGCATAAGAGGTTCCAGGGTTCTCCGTCTCACCTCATTTCACTTACTCCCATTGCCACAGGAATCTCGCTGAAGACTCAGGAGCTGTACGTCATCATTTTTGTGACTAGATACCTGGATCTTCTATACTCCTTCATCTCCGTTTATAACACGATGATGAAGCTCATATTTCTTTCGAGCACGATCGCGATCGTCTACTACATGCGCTACGACAAAGTGGTGCGGCAGAAATATGACAAGGATCATGATACCTTCCGTCACATCTTCCTTGTCGTCCCGTGTTTCGTGCTCGCATTGCTCGTGAACAAGAAATTCACCATTACGGAGGTATGGAACGGCTGAAAAGCTGGGTCTTTAGGTATCATTTGCGGTTCATGACTGAATTGAACGTCCTTCTTCGGTGTTCCAGGTTCTTTGGGCATTTTCGATATATCTGGAAGCAGTCGCCATTCTCCCGCAGCTTGTGCTTCTTCAAAGGACAAAGAATATTGACAATCTAACAGGAAACTACGTCTTTTTCCTCGGGTGAGGCACCAGAACCATTGTACGGTCGCTGATTGGTGTCGATTGTCTGGGTCTGACGTTGATGCCGGTTGTGTTTACAGCGCTTACCGTGGCCTTTACATCCTGAACTGGATATACCGCTATATGACGGAGAAGCACTACCGCCAATGGATTGGTAAGCATAGGGAGTACTCCGTGTCAGCTGGATTTCCTGTGCATGTGCCTCACCACCATCCCATCTGTTTGCTTGCAGTCTGGATTTCGGGACTTGTTCAGACAGCCCTCTATGCTGACTTCTTCTATTACTACATCATCAGGTATGCAGAGGTCGTTTGTTGTGTGATTGGAGTTGTTTTTTTTTTTGCTGGGATATTGTTATGGACGTCTGTCTGGTGTTTTGTTTTGCAGTTGGAAGAACAACCAACGTCTCAGTCTCCCTGCCTAAATGACTTACCGTAGCTTACATCTGAGAACGCCATTCAGATCTGCTGATCATGTGAATTTGTCTAAAAATTATGCTTAGGCAGGTATTGTGAGTTTGATTTATGAATGTACTGAACTTTTCACCACACACCCAAAGATCAGTGATGATGAGCTGATCTTCAATCCGTGTTACCAATGTTACCATGCAATTGTACCAGTTTTGGTAATCTGACGCAGATGAAGACGAAGCATAACAAGAGAATTCATAACTCCCTTCCAGCTCTCACGTACACTGAGTGATGCATGAAGATATAACATCGAATCATAGTAATGTAACTAATCTGGTAACCTGCCCCGATGCAACTTGTTCTCCATACCCCTGCACGATTAGTGAGATACAGCGGATGCCTACACTCCTCTCAATTCAATCAACTGCTGCACAACTGAAGGATCTGCGAGTGTGCTTATATCACCTGAAAACAGAAGCAGTTGGAAAGGCAGCAAAACAGAGCAAATGTTACCTACCACGAGGAGCAAAGAAAAACCATAGTTAAGAAGAATGGGGGCGAGTCGTTGGTACTCACCAAGAGTTTCGAGGTCGTTGGCAGCTATTTTGCGAAGCACCCGGCGCATGATCTTGCCGGAGCGCTGAAACACAAGAGCAAATGCACAAGGGCCAGACACAGAATGTGGTATGTTCGGGAATTAAATGGTGGCAAGTGGATGGACACGGGAGGATGTGGATACGGTAGGCTTGGAGACTAACATTAGGAGCCGATTTTTTGTGCAACAATGAAGGTACAAACCACACGTACTGTTTTTGGCAGCCCAGGAGCCCAGTGGATGACGTCAGGAGTGGCAAAGGCTCCAATGGCCTGTCGAACAGCAGACTTGAGGGCTGTTCGCACCTCTTCCGTTTGCTCCACACTGTGATATGAGGCACACTCAAGCGCGGGTGAGTCAGCAGCTGCTGTGTTCACTGCATGGCAACAGAAAAAGTGCAGTAGCAATGACTCACCCTTCCATGAGTGTGACAAAGGCATAGATACCCTGACCCTTAATAGGGTGCTCATACCCCACCACTGCCGCCTGCATGCCAGCTCAAAACAAAGAGAGTTAGCAGACTGGTGATAGGCAGCAGAGAGAGCACGTGTCCAGGCATGCAAGCTTTGGCTGATCAACTGCAAGCAAGGACAGCACGAGCCACATACCTCGGCGCAGGTCTCATGCGCCACAAGTGCACTCTCCACCTCCGCTGTTCCAATGCGGTGACCACTGGCAGAGGGAGACAAAGGGAGAGGCAAAGGGCACAGGACAGCACGTACAGGCCATGTGGATACGATCATAGGCAACATGGATATGGTTTTTAAGGTGGAGATGCCAGGACAGGCAACGTGGATACGGGTGCATGCTTGAGAGACTTCCGTACCTGACATTGATGACATCATCCACTCGCCCTGTGACCCAGTAGTAGCCGTCCTCGTCCCTGCGGCACCCGTCACCCGTGAAGTAGTAGCCCTGGGGGAGGCATCAGGCCGTGGAGGGCAGAGAATGAGTGCAAGGAAGGAGAAACGATAGGTTGTAAGGGGACGGATGGGTTGTGGAGTAGGGAGGACGGGAGGTGAACAAGAATAGGGGTCATGAGGGGTTAATGTCTTTGGCGTGACAGGGATGGAGCAGATATTGCACATCATAGCACAAGAGCACACAACCACATGCAGCAAGTGAAATGATGCATTCATCACAACATACAGCACGAAGCACGCACCATGCATACACATGCATGCACAGCATGAGCTGGCTGACCTTGAACATGGAGAAGTAGACCTCCTCAAAGCGAGCATGGTCGCCCTTGACCGTGCGCATGATGCTGGGCCATGCTCGCTTGATGCACAAGAACCCACTGCACGGACCCTGCACGAGGCAGGGGTACGGATGGGTGGAGGGAGCGGATCAGAGGGAGTTACAGGGGAGTTGGGTGAGGCAGAGAGAGGTGAAATCAGATAAAGCAACGTGAACAGCGAATCAGCGAGGAAAGACACAACGCGACAGAGGGACCACAAGAAACATAAATAAAACGTTGTGGCATGTGTGAGAAACCGTTCACGTGTCCGCAATTTTCCTGTGAGGAGGCACAGAGGCGGTGAGTGGTGGTGCACTGACCTCGAGCTCGTTGCCATTCTCGTCCAGCACAGCGGGCTCCACTCCAAAGAAGGGCAGCGTCGCACTGCCTGGCTTCAGCGCCCACGCACCCGCCAGCGGGGTGATCTGCACGGGGAGGCAAGCATGGGAAGTCGCGAGCGTGGTGGCACACACACAAAAGAACAGGGAGGAATAAACCTTGGAAAGGAACGAGTGCCCCCCCACCATTCAGCGCTGTGCATCTTTCCCGTGCTCTCCCCCCCCACCTTTCCCGCACCCAACCGCACTGGGCACCCTTTGCCAGTGGCACCATCCCATGGACGCACCATGATGGAGCCGGTCTCCGTCTGCCACCACGTGTCGGCAATGGGGCAGCGCCCACGGCCGATGGCGGAGTGGTACCAGCTGCAGGGATAGGGCGGGAACGAGAGGGATAGGGACGCACGTGGGCGTGTAAGAACGGGAGAGTAACACTTAGCGAACTGTCCTTTTGGGCGAGTTAAATCACCCCACACATCACTTAGAGTGCAGCCTTGATTCAAATGCGGTCGATTGTTTGACAGTCGACATGCAACATGGTTCCAATACGGGGTTACAAGTCACTGTGTGTGCACTGGTGTGTAACATGATATCCCTCTCACCGCCAGGCCTCGGGGTTGATGGGCTCGCCCACACTGCCCAGCAGGCGCAGCGAGGTGAGGTTGTACTTGCCCGGCCACTGCACGAAGGCAGGGCGGGAGAGACAAGAGGCGAGCAGGTATAGGGGGAGAGGGGAAGGGACAGGAAAGAGTTGGATAAGTAAACGTTCGCAATGGGAATGGAGAGTAGTCATTAGGGAAAGCTTGCGAGGAGAAGATTGAATAGCTTGCACGTGCATGCGTGGACAGACAAGCATGCATGCACGCATGGATGTGCGAATGGATGCGTGCATGGCATGGCATGGCATGGCAGGTGGGTCTCACATGGTCGCCGCATCGCATGAGTGCACGGATGGCAGTGGGAGCCGTGTAGAACACCGTGACCTTGTACCTGATGCACGGGGGGGAGTGATGGGACAGAGGAGGGAGAGAGTGAGAAAGATTAGGGAAAGAGGGGATCAGAATGAGGAGACAGGAAAGTGAGGGCGACCATGACGGGGAGCGAGGAAGCCAGAGACGAGCAAGCCTTCCCAACTGCAGTTCTTATCTCTTCAGTTTCCCCCCTCCCTCCCCCTCCTGCTCATCCCTTCCTCTCCCGATCATCCCTTCCCCTCCCGCTCATCCCTTCCCCTCCCGCTCATCCCTTCCCCTCCCGCTCATCCCTTCCCCTCCCGCTCATCCCTCCCCCTCCATCTCCCGAAGTTCCCTTCCGTTCCCCTCTCTCTCCCTCTCTCCCTCCCCGCTTCCCCCCCTTTCCCGCCCAGCCCTACTTGTCAACGACGTCCCAGCAGCGTCCGGGGTCGGGGTGCGTGGGCACGCCCTCGAAGACGAGCACGGTGGAGCCGTTGAGCAGCGGGCCGTACGTCAGGTACGTGTGCCCCGTGATCCACCCGCAGTCCGCCGTGCACCTGCTCAACCCATTCCACCCGCCCCACCCGCCCCAGCCATCCCACCCGCCCCAGCCGCTCAGCACGGGTACAGAAATACAAGCGCATGCAGGAAGGAAATCAAGGTTAGTTAGCGCGAGCACATGAAAGGGCGCGAGCACATGAAAGGGCGCGCGCGGAGCAAGCGAATGAGGGCAATAGGGAGAGAAGTGCCGAAGGTAGGGGAGAAGGGGGGGGGAAGGGGGCCACTGCGGATGGCAGTATAGAACCCGCAAGCACGAACGAGCGCACGAGGGAGTGGGCGATGGAATGCGGAGGAGAACTGGGCAGGGACAGAGGATGGAGAGGCGGAGACAGAGGGCTGGAAAGAGAGAACGAAAGAAAGCAAGAAAGGAGAACGAGAGAAGGCGAGAAACGAGAAAGCAAAAGCGAGAGAGGTATAGAAGAGAGAGGCGGAGTGGAGCGGAGGGGAGCGGCGCGCACCAGTAGATGTCGTCCTCGTGGTGGTCGAAGATGTACTTGAAGGACGTGGCGGCGCCCAGCATGTAGCCCGCCGTGGTGTGCAGCACGCCCTTGGGCTTGCCCGTGCTGCCCGACGTGTACAGCATGAACAGCGGCTCCTCCGCCTCCATCCACTCCACCTACCGCGCCAGGAACATTTAAAAGTCGCCATGAGGTGAGGACATTGAAGAGGCCGCCAAGAAGATGCGTCGTCGCTCGTGGCGAGTGTGGGTGTGAGAGTGAGTATGTGCGTCTCCTAAAAAGGTTTAAGGGCATGGCAGGGTAGGGCTTGGCAGGGCAGGGCATGGCATGGAAGGGCATCTCACCGGGCACACTTCGCTCTGCTTCTCCACCTCGTCCTGCCACCAATGGTCCCGCCCCTCCACGAACGACGCCTTCTCCCGCTGCACACGCGCGTGCAGAACAGAGCAGACGACAGTTAGACCACCCGCATTGACTCAACCCCCCGATCGCAACAAGCCCAAGGGCAGAACGAGAAGCGGCAGCGGACGAGAGGGAGAGGCAAGGCGGCGGGAGTGAACGGTTGCCGACGGGAAGGGGGGAAACGAGGAGAGGAAAGCGGTGTGTGTGTGTGTGGGGAGATGGGGTGGGGAGGAAAGGTGGGGATGAGGGGATGCGTGTGTGCGACGTACGGCGATGGCGAGCTTGTTGTCGTACACGAGCACCGTCGTCGGGCGGTTGTCGTCGGGGCACTGCGCGATCGCGTCGTCCACCTGCGACGCGCGGCGAGGAAAATGAGGCACGGAAACGTGTGAGCAGATTCAGAGGGGCTCGGAAGAGAGGGGTTTTCGGTGTGCGAGAGGTTGTGTGGAAGATACGCGAATTGACGAGAGGTGACGCGAGATTAGACAGGGCCGTTCGTGCGCACGCGAGCTCGGCATTATCATTGGGGGAGACGGACGCGAGCGAAACGCAGCTGCTTTGCGACGCTATGTGTGTGGGTGTGTGAGAGCACGTGGATGACGCGCATTGGATGCGCATTCGACATCTTCAGACTAACGGCTGATAGTAGAATGAGTCGTATATCGGAACTGAGCGCGATGGGCTTACAATGGACTTGAGCGCGATGAGCTTGGTGCCGCGCAGCACGGCCGTGGCGGTGAGCACCACCTTGCTCTGCGAGTCCATGAGCCGCCCCGCCAGCGACTCCGCGCTGAACCCCGCGAACACCACCGAGTGCACCGCGCCGATGCGCGCGCACGCCAGCATTGCTGCGCAGGCGGACGGGGGAACGCGACGGGAACGGAGAGAGGAGCAACGGAAGGCGGGAGTGTGAGTAAGAGGTTGCCTAGAGCGAGGTACCTGCTGCCGTTGTTCAAATTCTACATTTAAAATACCGGATGCTGAAACCGGGTGAGATAAAAAAACATCAACGCAAACAATGTGCGCGGGGAGAAACAAATTCACCATTACGGAAGCCAGGATACTTTCAGGGCCAGAAAAACTTGAGCGTTTAATAGGTGGCTAGGAGAGGCGACGCGGGAGTACCTGCAGGCAGCTCTGGCACCATAGGGAGGTAGATGCTGACTGTGTCGCCTCGCTTCACACCCACGCTCTTCAGGTAATTAGCGATCTTGCACACCTGACGTCATTGAAAAATGTACGGCGTGAACGGCGCGAGACAAGTCATTGCAGATCTACTAATTAGAGTACAGACTAATGAACCATACACAAGTCCTGTTCACGACCAACAAATCCATCGATTTCTTCCAATGCATTTAAGAGCACATTTCCCTTTCTTTTGAGTTCGTAAACCATACTCTTTTTAAAGTCGTCCGCTACTCACCTGCGAAAGCAGCTGAGAGTACGTCCATTGGCCCTGCACGCCAAGATCGTTGCCTTCCCAGATCAGCGCCACCTTGTTGCCCTTGCCGGCAGACACGTGGCGGTCAACGGCGTTGTAGCACAGGTTCGTCTCGCCGCCTACGAACCACTTGATGTCGACCGGGCCCTTGCGCGTGTCGAAATTGTACGAATGGAATGTCTGCTCGAGGACCAGAGAGCAACGATATAAGGAGAAGGTGTAAATTAAAGGAACAGACTGATACTGAGAGTTTGCTAGGGTAGTTGCCGAATACACGGCACGGAAGGTAATGCAGGTCACACATTTCACAATCTATCAGAAAATGGCACGCATATTGTCAGCCAGTCCCCGATAGGTGATACGACTTTCAAAGCGAACCAAAAAGATATAGTTAAAACCAGCGTCGCACCTCCCATTTCTTGTTCCAGTGGAAGTGACTCGCGACTTCTGTCCAAAAGGCTTCGGGCTCTTCGAGCGACCGCTTGTACATGGCATCGTACACGGCCCGCGAGTTCACCAATGCCTTCTCCACAAAATCCGGAAGTGGCTCAATAAGACCCTCCTCCGACGTGACGGCGGCGACTGCTGCCGTGTCAAAATCAAGCAAGTTACTTTCCTCCTCAGACCGTTTCACAGCGGTGTCCGCCATGGCTGACTACCTCACCGACACGTCCAGGAGGAGAATTTGGTAAATGCGATGCCTCGCAATGGACAGATTGTGTCACAAAGCAGAAGAAAGAATTGGGGAATTCAACAAACCCAGGAATCGGCTTATCGAATTTTAGATGCAGCCCATACTCCGGGCTGGGGTAATGAGCATCACGCAGGCAAGCGCGGTGATGAGCTCAACACCGCGTGTTTCGGGAAGTGCCTCGTGTCGTCCCCTCCCCATCACAACAACCCACCACCGACTCCCCCCTCACTTCCCCACGAGGCAAACGGCTCGTCCGCTGTCCCCCGAGGGTTGCTGCGCGCACAAGTGGGGATCGTTGGGCGGATGCGGAGGTCGGGAATGACTTCAAGGCGAGGCGAGCCTTGAACTTGCTTCCCTTTGGCCCGCAAATCTCGAGGCTCGGAAAATTGGCTCAAGGGAACATCACGATGTGCTGACCCCCCAAGGGCCAAGCCAAGGCCCACGCCGCCGACGAAAATATGAAGTTGACCTCTGGGCTCAAGTGGGGGCAGCTTGGCGGGTCGCCACTGCACGTGCAAAAAAATCAGCGCCCGATGTCCGGGAAGATCGACCAACCAAGAACTGTGTGAGATGGATAACGTTCCAATGCTGCTCATTGCTGCCGTGGCGTGCATAATTTCTGCCGTAGCTCCCTGAAAATGGCGCACACGCTTCTCCGATTGAAAAATCCGTAATATATTGATATCATTTTTATGTTCACAAAAGATAATTCATGTTTCCGTTCATGTTTTTTTTTTTGAGATTTCCTCCTTGTTGTCATTGTCCAGCATTTCCATGTTCACTCTTTTCATGTATTGGAAGTTGTTTCAAGGAACAGACGGGTATGTACATGCGAAACTGGCTACATTCAGTAAACCGTACTGCATTCACAGCTCCTTGCCCCTGACAGTGGGGACGTCAGTGGTGACATCAGTTGCAGCTGGTGGTGCCTGCTCACCCTGCAGGCCCAGAGCCTCCTTAGCAGATTGAGCCATTTCAGACAGGCGTTCTCCCATGCCCTGCAACAAAACGGTAACACAGTGAAATATGGTCAATGCAATTGTTCAACGCATCGCCATCACCAACGTCAGCCAAATGTGTTTCAAATGCCAGCACTAACCTTCACAGTATCCGCGACTGACTGCTGAGCGGCCTGAGCAGTCTCCCTGGTCTTTGCAGCTGCTTCTTCAGCCGCAATCCTTGCCTGCTCAGCTGCACCCTTCCCCGTTTCCTGGGTAGACTCAGCAGCGCGGCTAGCCATTTCCTTGGTCTTATCTACCGTGCCCTGAGCTGCCTCCTGCGTCCTCTGAGCGGCTTCTCCTGCTGTTTGCTTCGCCTGCTCAGTGGCCTGAGCAGTGCTCTCCTTGGTCTGCTCCCATGTCTTCTGAGCACTTTCCTGAGCACGACCAAGGCCTTCAGAGGCACCCTGCTTCGTCTCCTCCATCTTCCTCCCCGCAACATCACCCGCTTGCGCGGATTTCTCACGAGCAGTCTCGGCAGCGCGGCCCGAGGTGTCCTTCATCTGCTGCCCAGTCTCCGAAAGGCCCTGCTTGCCCTGCTCCATCTTCGCCTGAGTAGCCTTGCGAGCTTCCTCAGCGCCCGCTCCTAGCTGCCCACGGGCCTCCTCGGCGTGACCGGTAGCTTTCTGTACAAAACACACAGAAACACGGTCAGAGACACTAACACACGCGGGCGGCCGCGAGGCTGAGTACGCGAAAGAAAGCAATATTGATGTCCCGATTTGGTAAGGGCCGTTACTACCTGCTGGTGGCTGGCCATGACGTTCACTTTAAGATCGACAGAAATTACAGACTGGAGGAGGAAGGCAGTTATGGCTGGAAGGAGGGAAACGACTGCGACGTAAGGAAAGACCACGCAATTTTCCTTTTAACCATGGCGACTGAAGGCAACTACTAGCATTGGTGGCGCGCTCCACTTCGGTCTCAAGTGAATTCCACATGCCTTGAGCAAATCGCACCGCCTTGATACTAACTATTGAGGTGTCGAAACATGCACAACTAGCTCTCTTGTTGGCTCTCCCCATTGTGGCACGTGTCCATTGTTGACGTAGAACTGTTATACGCAATACGAAGAGGCTTCGTTTTCAAAACCTGTTATCACTTGTGATACAGTGATACATATACCGTGCCTTCAAAACTACGATTCATACTTCTTGTACAGTTCTTCACCGAGGACGTGCTCCAGAAGGGGTATTCGGGGTGCGTGCGCTCAAATCGGGACCACGGTTCTGTTTCGCGTGCTGCGGTATTGTGAGCCAAGAATCGAGAACCACTTTCCACCGTGTGCAACCCACCGAAAAAGCTTGAGCGACCAGCGGATAAACACGTGCGGGCCCTAACCTGGCTTGGGGTTGGATATCAGAAAATTCACTGGTCAGCGCCTTCCATTTGCAGTTTCGTGACTGTCGCCGACAGTAACCGACCATTCCATTACGACGCTGTGCTTACGTCACATGTAGCAGAGAGCTATCGTCGCACGTCCCACCAGACATGCGCATGTCATGTAGAGCTCGTCAGCCAGCCGTGGCACCCTGTGATGCCCTTCATTTTTCTGAACCAATGATCTGCGTCGTGTAAAGTCGTATAGATTATCGCACATGTTCTTGACTCACACCCGGGTCGCCTTGCAAGCGCAGCCGCCGTTACGAATCGCTGTTTGCGAGTAAAAGAATCGACGGCGCAGAGAAAGGCTTGATCGCGGTCAGGCTCCCTCGCTAACCTCACACCGCGGTTCGGCATTGCAACATCGTGCCGATTTCAGCAAAACCAATCAGTGTCGCTTTGGTGACGCACTGAACCTGTGCTGTGCTTTGCTGTGTGGCACTGTACTGTACAGAACAAGACAGCCTACAAAGGCAGCCATAGTCTCCCTCTCACCTCGGCTGGACAAGAATCCATTCGGCCTTCAATTTCTCCCCTCCCCACTTCTATCTGTTTCCGCATCCCTCGAAACTATCAAGTAGTTGAGCGAACCCACAGTAGCAGTAAGCTGTTCGCGGAACTGCGGTTATACTTTTCCTGGTTGCGATATAGCTGTTGGGTTTCTCGATTCCCTGTCGCCGAGGAAGCGTTATCTCCCAGCAGCAATTGACATGGCATCCGAAGCCTGCTCACCGCAGTCGGACTGCGCGCATGTGTCTAACATTACTGTCGACATTCGCCCAGGGAGCTGCGCCGCGGAGACGCAGGACGGGAATTCCGAGGTTGCGGGATCAGGCGGTCGTGGCGCGGAGCGATTAGTACATCTGATTCCGGTCGTTCTCATGCTCTCCATGGCCGTCCTCTGGACTTTCCAAAAAGGTAAATGGTGGCTACATTGTGGTTTCCTGTGTATCGCGTTTCACTGGCAACTTTTCGGTGGTTTTCTTTAAGCGCCTGCTTAACGTATATTTTTTAATACATATTCTTGGTATTGCAGATGTTGCCGTTTCGACATCAATTGTGCACTCGTCGTCACACCTGTCTGTCTCTCCGACCCTGCATTCGTCCTCGTTCAAAGCGGACCGTCGATTGCTGGACGGCGCCGTGGAGCCGTCCGATGTAGACGACTCGGCTTCTGAGTCGCCAGCTCACCGTCGTTCGACGCTTGCAGCGGAAAGCGCAGGAGACGATTCAACAGCGCACGACGCTACATCCCTCGACGCGCCCCACGACAGCAATCTCAAAACTTCGTTTCGAGCGCTGCAGGCGCTGCTGAGGCCGCTGGGAATGGCGTGACATGCGGTTGCTGCATCGCCGGCACTGTGCAATGCGGAGGCTTGGAGAGGCCCACATACGTTGAATATGTCATTTACGCTGGATAAATTAGTGGCGTTGCTACGCAATGACTGCGTGCAATAAGCGATTGCTGGTCTCAGTGTGCAAACAAAGCAGCGCACTGTATGTCGCCGCGCATCGTGCTCCATGAGACTGAGCTCCTTGCTTGGGTGTGGAGTAGGCGTTTATAGCTTGTGATACTGGTATGTCCACTCACGCAACGATTACGGTAGTATCTTGCTTTTGCCATCTCATATTTATACGATAGTTGATACTCGGATTCTTTCTAGGCTTGGATGACTCAGCCTTGAAACCATTGGAATCTAAATCAGACTGTTTTATTGGCGTGGTTGTGCCTACTGCACTTCGGGTTTCTTTCATGTGAGTGCGTGCGATGCGACCACATAATTGGGCCAAATGTATGGTAAGTTCACAAATCTCGAGTTCACTAGGCACCACTCCCAAGCCTGGTAGGTAGTGGAATGTCTACACCAGAGCAAGCACTGCTCATCTACTGCCGCACCCCTGCCATACCAGCACCACAAACCCCCCTCAGTGCCACAGCAGCAGCACCCCAGTGTCACACAGCGCCTGCCTTCCTCTCCCTGCGCACGCGGGTCTCCTGCGGGTCAAAGCCCGCCTCCTTGGCGCCATACACGGCCCAGGGGGGCGTGGGGGCCATGTAGTCCGTGCTGCTGAATGCCTGCCCACTCGCCACCTGGGGTGGTACAGGCACAGGGGTGTGCAGAAGAGGCAACAGGCGGGAGGAGGGTCGGGAGAAGGGGAGGGTGGAAATAACTGTGTGATCTAAGAGGTCGGGACAAGCTCAGCGAAAAAAAAGAAGGAAAGAACGGTGGCATAGAAGAGCCATCTCAGCCACGCTCTGTTCCCCACCCACCCTCCCTCCCCTCTCTCTTCCCCCTTCCTTCCCCTCCCCATGCTCTCTCTTCCCCCCTCCAGCGCACCAGCTGATGGAACTTGTCGTAGTCAATCCACGTGTGCCACGTGCCATCCGGCGCCTTGAACTTGGAAGAGAGCGCCAGCAGCACGCAGCACGAGTGCTCATGCTCGCACGCCAGCTCGTAGCCCCCCGCCCCCGCCTCCCCTGCTGCCGCCGCCAGCTCTGCTGCGAAGCGCCTCACGTCCTCGTGGTATGGCACGTTCTGCATGGTCAGGGATGATGCCCCCGTGCTGGTGGGAGGAGAGGGAAGAGGGGGACGAGGGGTGTGGATGGGAGGGGAGGCAGTGGAAAGAGAAGGGGAGGGGTGAAGACGCCTCACATCCTCGTGGTAGGGCACGTTCTGCATGGTCAGGGATGATGCCCCCCTGCTGCTTACGACAAGAGGGGGATCGAGGCGTGGGGACGAGAGGCAGTGAGGCGAGAGAGGGGAGGTGAAAGAGGAGAAAACATTGATTCCAGCATGGTGAATGCAACAGCCAGCAGGTACAGGCCTGCCCCACCCAGCCCCACCCCAGCACACACCTGCCGCAGTAGGTGACGCCCTTGATCTCTATAAAGTCGGGCTGCCCCAGCTTGAGCATGGTGCCTGCCTGCAACACCCAGCATAGCCCTGCCCCACCCAGCCCCACCCAGCGCCCACTTGCCACAGCACACGAACACACCTGCCGCAGTAGGTGACGCCCTTGATCTCTATAAAGTCGGGCTGGCCCAGCTTGAGCAGGTCAGCGTACGCCTTGAGCTCCTCCGTGTTCCACCCCTTCACCAGCGTCAGTCGGTACACCGTGCGCTGCTGCTTGCTGCGCAGCGCTGTCAGGGACGCCTGCAGCAGC